TTTCTCCTAGTTTTGACGCACCTCAGAGGGAAAGAGGTTTCTGTTGAAGATCCCGGAAGGTTTTCTCTAGCAGCTGATCTTGTAGGGCCACCCTTTGCAGATACACTAAAAAAGACAAACCCCTCACCCTGACCACTTGGCGTGTGTGTGCTCTGAACCCTGCTTTGGAAGCCTGTGCTCTGAAGCTGTGGCTCTGGGCACTGGGACAGTCGGAACGGTGCGATGCTCCCAGGGGCCCTGAGCCAAGCTGTTCCTTAAAGGGCTGGTCTCCGTGGTCACTGTTGTGAGGTTTCTGCAGGCCCTGCACTGCCTATGGCACAGTCCTGTAGGCACCGGGCTCTAGAGCCTCCAAAATCAGGTGCTTCTCTCCACAGAGTTCTTCCTTGCAGCGTTTTGCAGCCGCAATGTGGCCTTTAGCAGTGTGGTACCGAGCGAGACCATCTCTTTAAGACTAACGGCATTCATGTTATAGCTGGCAGACTCTCCCTGGCTGGCTGAGCCCTAGCTTAACAATGAGTTTTGTTCAATTAAAATCAGTTCTTTCACGATCTCAGCCTGGAGTCTGGCTTCCCTCTCTCAGCAGCTGCTGCTGAGCACTGGGAACAGAGCAACTGCAGACTCCCGGCCTCGGCAAACCTCTGCCAGGGATGTGCGCTGCCAGTGCTGCTGCCAGGCAGGCTAAACCACACCTGGAGTTCACGCTCCGAAGTACTAATCCTGCATGGCCATAATCTTACCTGGTGTATCGGACTAACTGTGACTGGAGAAAAGGCTTCCAGTTAATTGTGGGGAAGGGAAGTCTCCCTGAGAGAAGCTTATCTCGGCATACTTGCATGCCTGTGGCTGACAGATGTGTTAAAAGACGTGCCCTGCGCTGGTTTTCCCCGCGTACAACGGGAAGCCTCTTAACTGCTAGTGACTGGGAAGAGCAGGTAAATCCAAAGCTAGTAACTCCCTTCCCATGGGGCAGCTAAACTTGACAGAATCCTTGCTACGTTGCAGGGCAGGAACATAAATTATTTCCTGTAAGCCATCAAATCACCCTGCCCGTTTCCTTTTCCACTGCTGCATGTCTGTTTGTGTGTGTGCAGATGTATATGTGTGTATATATATAAAAATATATATATACATACATATACATACCAGCTCTCTCCCAGCCAGCTGCCTTTCCTTGCAAGAAACACATCATACAGCTGCTGGGTATACGGAGAAGGGGTCTGGCACTGCTAGGAGGGAGCGAGCGGCGGAACATGGCTACGTGCCAGGGATGCTCTGGAGAGGGGCTTTTGGAGTCTGCTCTGCTTCCTTCCCAAGCTCCTCACGTCTGCTGTGCACCAGGACGGGCTGCGAGTCTCTGCTGATCCCAGACATTCGATCAAAGACCCCAGTCCCAAGGTCACCCACAGCTTTTTGGAGTCAAGGGCCATGAGGATGTCCCAACAGGCATCTCCTGGGCATCCGCTTCTCTTGCAACTCGGCCTAGGGAAGGAGCATCCAGGGATTTGTGCGTTCCCGAGTGCTGGAGCATGTGTGTGCTGGAAGCCTAAAGGGCCTGCTAGGGAGGGAACGTGCTGCTGCGTGGGAGCTGACCCTTTCTCTGCTCTCTCCCCACCTGTAGTGCTGGCGTGCGGCCGCCCCCAGGCCACGGCGGTGTACAAGGTGTCCGAATACGCCAGGAGATTCGGCGTCCCCGTGATTGCAGATGGAGGGATCCAGACGGTTGGGCACATCGCAAAGGCCCTCGCACTCGGGGCCTCCACAGGTGAGCAGCACGTCGGGCGACCAGGTCGTGCATGTTGTAGGGAGTCTCCTGGGAAGGGTTTCCATATGGCATTTGATTCTGGGCACGAGGGCGTATACCTGCAGGTGGCTGGGGGCATGGGGGGTCTGTGCCCAGGGACCCTGAGGTTTTTTGCGGCTACAGCCTTCCTGCTGCTGACGTGCTGCTCTTGATCTCTTGTGCCAGTGATGATGGGCTCTCTCCTGGCTGCCACCACGGAGGCCCCAGGTGAATACTTCTTCTCAGATGGAATTAGGCTGAAGAAATACCGTGGCATGGGCTCACTAGATGCCATGGACAAGAACTTGGGCAGCCAGAACCGGTATTTCAGGTAAGAGATGGTGCTTTGGGGCAGCAGATCAAGCTTTTGGGGTTTCTCTGCTTCACAAACTTCCTTGATTTGTGCTCCCATGCAGCGAGACGGACAAAATCAAAGTGGCCCAGGGGGTCTCTGGCGCAGTGCAGGACAAGGGCTCTATCCACAAGTTCATTCCATACCTGATTGCTGGGATCCAGCATTCCTGCCAGGATATTGGTGCCAAGAGCCTGACCCAAGTCCGGTGAGTCCTTCCCTTCGCTTGTGCTCTGGTTAGGCCACAGTGCTGCCATTTGGGGTCTCTGGGCAAGCTGTACCCATGCTGTGGTGTGTTCTGCATGGTCTGACCTCGCTGTAGCCTTCGTCTCCAGTGGGCGCTGCGTCATAGATCTGCCAGCCCCAGGGATGCAGGAGCACGGGCTCCTGTGGCATATTCTGCTGGTTGGGCCTGAAATGTCGGGGTTCCCTTACTCCGCCTGGCTCTTGGGAGCACAGCAAAGACCATTCTGGCCGCAGCTGGAGGAACCAGTGTCCCTTGTCCCAGCTGCTCCAGCTGAACGTGTGCACTGTCCTCCCTGGACTCTGGCTGGCACGTGACAGGTGTCCTTTCCCCCCAGAGCCATGATGTACTCGGGAGAGCTGAAGTTTGAGAAGAGGACGACGTCTGCCCAGGTGGAGGGAGGGGTGCATGGCCTCCACTCGTAAGTGCTGCTGGCAGGACCCCTGTCTCCCTGGGGTGGGCGTTGGGGGGGAGTTAAGTGCTGCTGTCCTGTGCCTCAGCTGGCAAGCCAGCACGCTGCTGGCTTCAACTCCTGCTGCGCAGCTGGGCTGAGGCGCAGCCTGTTGTCTGGCCCGGGCCAGTGCTCCTCTCTGCCAGTGTGCCGGGGCTTTTCCCCACCATGGACCAGCAGGCCAGGAGCCGTTCCTAACTGCACCTTTGGTCCTTGCCCTGGTCAGGCGGGTCAGTAAAAGGGCTCTCCGGTTTGCTGCTCCCCTCACAGGTATGAGAAGCGCCTCTTCTGAAGGAGGCCTGTCTGTGTCTGTCATCGTGCCACTCAGCCCTGTGCCACCCCGCGCGGGAGCTGCTCTTGCTGCAGAAGTGCCATTACTCTGTGGGCTGCCTGGAGCTCCGTGTGTCCCTTGGCTGCTTCATCACCACCTGAGAGGGCCCACCCCCTGCCCAGGAGCAGTGATCCTGGGCTGGTGCCTGGAGCCTTGCACGCGTTGGCCGTGTTTTACAATAAAAGGAAAAGATGTGCAGTTGGTGTCAGCCCGGAGCCCCTCTTCCTTCTGTACTGCCCTTGTTCTCCTTCCCTGGCTCTCTCCTTCGCTTCCTGCACCCTCTCAGGAGCAGCTGATGGCCCCAGAAGGGACACTGCGTGTCAGGGGGAACGGGGAGGGGACAGGACAGCCCCTTGACAGGGCTGAGTGGATAATGCGGTGTGGAGTGTTTAAAAAAAAAAAACCTTCCTGAGAGCAGAAAACAAGTGGCTGCTGGGCAAGAAAGCAAATGGATTTTACAGGGCTGTTAGCTACTGCTGGGACCTGCCCAACCCAGCAGCAGCTGCCAGGCTGCCGCAGGACCCTGTGCCAGGTCCAGCTGCTGCAACGATAAGCATGTAGGTGCTTGTGTGTGATGTGCGCACCCACCCAGACACCCCTGGAAATGCGCTGCGCTGCAGCTGCTTACACACACCAGGCCCTTGTACCTGTACCTTCCCGTGCTTGCTCCTCACCAATCCACCTTTCTCCTTCCCTTTGTTTCTTCCCCTAACCATCCCATACTGTCCCCCACAACCCCCCAGATGCTCGTCCCCACGTTGCCCCAGCAGCTGCACCCCTTGGGCTGGCTGGTGCAGGCGCTACAGATCACTTGTACTGTTTGTTTGCCAGAAGACATGTGGACAAGGAACTTGGAACGGCACAACTGAGAGCTCACGGGCTTATAAAGGAGCCGGGGTTTGCGTTTCTGCATGCCTGACCAGTGCAAACCTCCCCTGCATGGCCAGGTTACCTGTGCTTGCAACACCAGGTGCCAAAGGTGTTTTACATGTGTATCAGGCCCCCCCCCCAACACATGCAAATGTCACTCTGCCGAAGAGCGCGTGTTTACTGTCAGCATTTTGTGTCTCTAATGTTGTTGACTGAAAAAAAAGAATCACTCCGCAGCATGGCAGTGTCAGATTTACACATGCTAAAACCAGAGCCTTGAATTACAGCATAACGGTGTTGGTGTCAAACATTCATTAATGCAGCTGGCTTGTTAAGCAAAGCTAGCCCATGGCCTGCCTCAAGGCTGGGGACCGCAGCCGCATACCCCCTCCTTGGACCCACGGAGGCAGCAGGGTTTGGGGAGCGAGGCTGCGATTCAGTACGTGTACCCCCCACCCTACCCCCAGGGGTGGCATCCACAACCATGAGCCAGTGCAAGATGGGGCGGGGGGCAGTGACCCTCTCTGTGTGCCCTGCTTGAGCCATGAGCCTGCAAGGGAGACGGGGTGCAGCACCTAGTGCTGAGCCGGGACCGACTGCAGCTCGAGGCTTCACAGGGGGGCAGTGACCCTCTCCGTGTGCCGTGTGCCCTGCTTGAGCCTGCAAGGGAGACGGGGTGCAGCACCTAGTGCTGAGCCGGGACCGACTGCAGCTGGGGGGGGGGGGTACAAAACCCCACAGGAGAGCCCGGGGCAGGCCAGCGCCAGCTGGGACGCACCAGTTGCCAGTGCTGGCCGTGCCCAGGGAGCTGCTGGCAGGTGGTGACCCCAACACCGCGCACGCTGCCCAGGGAGCTGTGGTGGCCAACACAGCCACCACCTGGCCAGCTCTGCAGGGGCGGCGAGCACGCGCAGCCTGATGGTGCATTACAGCCCCCCCTCTGCTGTGCATTAACCAACATGCAATTGCCTTGTACTTCCAATTTACATGTATTTTCCTTCCGGAGCCCCAAACATACCCAGGGGCGTGCAGCTCACCCCGCCAGCCTCCACCCTGCCTCGGGGTGATGGCTTCCTGCTGCCAAGGCAGAGCAGCAGGGCTGCGGTTGCAGTGCTGCCGGCAACGCTCGGGCCTCGCGCTGTGCCCTGCAGCCCCCAGCACTGGGCAAGGCGGCCGGGAAGCCAGGGACTTTGGGGCAGAGCCAAGCCCGCGCATTTCACAATACCCTCCTGTGTGCAGAGAGCCACCACCCAGCCACAGCCGGGCTCCGACAGTTTAGTCCAAAGCATTTCTCCGCTGGGGGTGGTGAGGGCTGGGGGCTCCAGGCAGGGAAGAGGAAGAGCTGTTCAGCCCGTGGCAGGCAGAGCCTACATCCCCATGTAGGTACCCCGCGGAGGGATGAGCCCAGCAGCTGCCACGCGCTTTTCACTTGTTAGGAAGTTGAAGGTTGCGCACGCATTTGGCTGTGAAATAGAAAAAGGAGGGAGTGAAGCCCGAGGCCTCGGGCAGGAGATGCAGCCCTTCCCCATGGGGCACATGACCCCCTCCCTCCTGCCTGTCGAGGAAGGGGCCGGGGGGCTGCACTCCCAGTGGCCACCACCCTCCTCTTCACTGGGGTGCTGCCTGTGCACACCCCTCTGCACACCCCTCCTCACCGTGTCCTGCACCTCCACAGCGATCCCGCACTCCCGCATCTGCTTCAGCACGGCGGGGTGGAGCCGCTCCACCCTGTCTCCTGTGCCCAGCACCAGGATCTCTGCAACCAGGACACGACCGCAGGCAAGGGTGGGCAGGGCTGCACTGGGGCTGCCTCGGCCCAGACCTGCCCTCCCTGCAGGGTCAAACAGCTTCCCCACAGCCGCCCCTACAGGAGCCCAAATGAGGGGGAAGCCGGCCCCGCTGTGCCCCTCCAGCTGCTGCTGCAGAGCAGAACGATGCCAGAGAGCAGCTCCCTCCCCCAAAACGCTGGCAGGGCACTGCGGGGTGGGCTGGGGCAGAGCTGAGATGGCCCCAAGGGGCAGCCGGGCCCCAGCAGCCCAGCACAGCTCAGGAGCCAGCTCGGGCAGGCTGTGACAGCGCAGGGCCCCGGCCGCCCCACGTACCTATTTGGGGCTCCAGCAGCCGGAATAGCGACAGACTCTCATGCGAGATGTCCCTGTAGGAGCCAACCTGCGGGGACACGGAGGGCACTGAGCTGGGCAGACCCCCCCCCGGGGCGGTCGCCCACAGCGCGGGTG